CCAAACAGACAACACTGAACACTGGATGGAACTGTGGAAAGAAACAGACTTCCTGTGTACTACAAGTGGCCAGAGCTGCAAGTTAAACAATCTATTGTTATTACTGACAGCTCCAAGAAACATAACCAAAACTCAGATGTTAATGATGGAATTGCAGGCAGGAATCACACTCACACCTGATGCTTAACTCAGAAACCGAAACACTAATGTTTAGTACATTCAAACCAGCAGCAAGTTACCACAAAAAAAACAATAAATCCAGACTTGTATATTAGCCACCAGCATCTAGTCTGAGGAAAAAAACAACAACATCTTTTAAAGGTTAACCGGAATCTACCATCTAAAATACTATCACGTCACTGGCAGGTAGTAAATAAAAATAAAATTATATGAAACAGTAGCAATTACATCACCGCAACAACAACATAACAGCACACACTGAAGGAATAGGGTTTAATCATATCTAGAGAGGGTAACCTAACTACAGCTGTGTGGCTACACTTGTCAATGTTGTCTCCAAAGCCCTCAAGGTCTGTTTTGCAATTTACTAGGAACATTTTGGCTTCAGTTATCAGCAGTTACCACCCTTACTAATCTGTGTCTATACATACAGTACGTGTACATGTTTTTAATTAAGTTGTTTCACATGAAGATTCACTTTTCCAACAGGTCTAATCAGCCATTGGCTCTTCCCCTTCTTCTCTGTCCATCTGCCCAAGCGTTCTCATCTGTTTAAAGGACTATAAAAGCTCACCACAAAACCCTTACCTCACCTCAGGGCTCTGTTTTTCACTTTAATCCTCTGGGGTATACTGCCAGCTTTCAGAAATTCATTTACTATAAAGACCTGCCTTAGAACAAAATGGACTATTTTGGAAAAATGAACATATGAATCTGTAACCAACAGACCGAGCTCCAAAAACTGTGAAACTTAAGCTGCCATTTTACATTTTGGTTTAAATTTGTGGTACAGAGTGGTCTATTGACTCCAAAGAAATACGTTCGGAAAACCAGCCATTTTGTCTTACTGGTGCCTGAAGAAATAATGAATTATGTTGCCTGTTCGGGATGTAACCTCAGATGTGGTATCCCTCAAGAAGCCATTACATGCCCATAATAATCATTCCTTGCGGAATAACAGACTTTTTTTTCAAGAATTGAAAAGCATTAGATTAGAAAATGAATTACTCAGCAGGCAATTCTGAAGTCACTTTGCAGATCTTCAGATAAATGAACTGCTGTAACACAGAGCTGGAAAATAAACTGTGCTAGTTTCACCTAGGGTATTTGTAAAAACAAAGTATCCATCCAGATTCTAAGACTTTGCTCATAAAACTTTTTCGATGAGGGTTTCATGGCCACATTGGTTGCCAGGTAACAGGTGTAGTGGTAACTTTAGAGCTTTAAAACCTGACAGATAATACATAGCCCTGGAAACTATGAAACTGCTGAAATCAACATTTCCTCTTACCATAAATTAGAAGGACAGACTTCAGACCAACATGGTGAAAATCTGAAATCAAGTATTTTTCACAATGCTTTAATCACTGCAACATAATATTTCTTAAGAACTCATTTTCTCCCCTAATATGGTGACTGCAAATACCTTATTCTCACTTTTCGAAAAGTCCTAAGGAAGCTCTTGTAGAAAACTGAAAATGGAAAAAGTCTATGGTCTGTTTTGTCTACTGGTGAATTTCACTTAAATGACATCGTTTCACAAATGCAATCTATGTAAAGAAATTATTTTTTTTATTCAGTCTTGGCTGCGTTTTCCCTTCAGCAGCTTCATTTGCAACATTTGCAAATATTTCTTTCCAGTTGAAGTTACTCATAACTAATAAGACCTAAATACGGTTTACACAAACTTTTTGAACATTTTTTCCTTGGTAAGTGGACAGCAGTTTCTCTAAGAACAGGATGTCACAAATTTTGCTGATTCCTGTAATGGTCTTTAAACAGTACTCCTTTACTCCATTGTCCAAGTTTGATTATGTGGTAGCCTTATATGATTCATCGTCATTGACATAAGACACTGTTGATTAACATTTTGTCTTACAGATGTATTTAGTCATGTATGTTACAGATTTGGACTTAACTATCTACAGTGGTGCTAGAACGTTTGTGAACCCTTTTTCTGAATTTTGATCAATAAATGAATTACAAACTATATCCTTTTGTGTGTTATTTGTTTTATTGGGGTCTCTTTATCTAGTTTTATGACAGATGAAGATCTGATCACATTTTAGGTCACATTTATGCAGAAATTCAGAACATTATAAAAAAAACTTTCTAGCACCACTGTACCTAGCTATTGTGTATAATGGCCAAATGAAAACGATGAGCAGAATAGAATAGAATAAAAAAATTTGCAATGAGGTCCAAAAAACAAAACAACATAACATTCAATAAATCCTTTCCCTGGAACACATAAATGGGCAACAGCATGGCAAACTGCTTACAGAGATCATGTTTAAACATCACATCTAATACTTCCCTGTAGACAATATGAACAAATTATCCTGCCCTTGCTTTCAAAAACATGGGAACTGAACAAATAAGTTATTTTTTAACACTGTCATAATGCTCTACAAAAAAACAGAACTAACAATATTTTATGGAAAATAACAGTTTATACGTCATACTTTGTGTCATTCTTTGTCATACAAACCTAACCTAGCAAAAGCTGAGCAATCATTGAGTGAAAAGCAAACCAAATTGTTTATAATTAAAGGATGCATTTACTTGAATTACAGGTGTTTGGTGAATCAGCGTGATTCATTCCAGTAGGGGGGGCATTATTACCTCATTAAACTGCCAGCACAAGACACGGATGTCACAAATTTCTTTTTTTTCTTCCTCACTTGGAGATCTTTTGCAATATTTGGGCTTTTTGGTGAAAGAATCCATATTTGAAGCCAAGCTTATATTTAAAAGCCCTATCAAAACGGACATTTTTCTGGAATCTGTAGAACAGATAAGTGACCAAACTTCATTCTTCGGTTGTAGACAAATTACAGGTTTTTTAAACATTAGTCTTCAATATTATTACATAATATTGACAGAATTACTGGATCTTCAAACTATGGTATGCTTCAAATATCAAGAATACAATTACAAGGGCAAAGGCCTCTGTTCGTAATCCTTTCCTGTGCAATATTTCAAATAATTAAGACACTATCATTTAATTAGGAGATAATTTCATACTAGAGGATTGTATGGTGTGATAAGTCTGAATTTAACCTCAGCAGTTAAATAATATCTCAATCTGTTTTGTACTGGTTTCAAAGGTTACTTTTTTAAAAGAAGTTTGTGTTTAATGAAATAAGCCTTCAAATTATACAACTACAAAAAAGCAAATCATAAAATAAGTTTGAGTGTAGGTGTTAAATGTTACATTATTACTGCATTCAATTTCATTTGTCTTCACATTGAATATACTATACAAATATATCTGAGTGCAAAAAGGGAATGTAGCTCATAATGGGTTTTGAAATGTTTCTCAATACATTTTCTTCTATGAAGCCTGAAACAGCAAAACACAAAACATTTCTCTCAGTGTGCAAATAAACACGACATCTGAGCATAAACACGACATCTACTCATTGTCAAAACTGTTCACATCACTGGAAAACAAGTCATTCTTCTGGATAAATCCCACTCCACACAGATGTTCTACATGGGAGCACAAGAAATGTATGGCACTAAGGCTGTGGGACAATCTTGCAGCAACAAACTGCTTAAAGTTTGCAAAGACAAAGGTGCAAACACAGCACAGTAGTGATAACTGCTACAGTCTTAGGACAGCCTCAATTATAAAAAAACACCCTGTGCCAACTGGTATTGATCTCAAAAGGGTCTGATCTGCCAATTTAATAGAATATGGAGTGGTTACAAGATACGGTAGAGTGCATGAAAACCCTGCATCAAACCCCAAAGCTCAGCACTACAAACCCCAAAGCTCAGCACTACTCCTCAACAACAGCAGCTGCGCGCAATTATCTGGAAATTAAAAAAAAAATCTTAAGACAGTTATTGCAGTGCAGGAACACTAAATTGGATCCGATACTTGTGTTCCACTAAGGTCTGCAAGCTCTGACCCATTACAGAAAAACAACATCATTCTTAAAAAAGGTCCCAAAATACTGTACAGTAGAAACTAACTGTTTCATCACCTTATTCTCGTCCGAAGGAAAGGGTGGTTGCTTCAGAGCAACCATTTTCCGGTGGAAAAATCGAAGAATGAGGTAGAGACAAAATAACTCCTCACACACCATGTAGCTTAATAATGGGAAGGATAAAACACTCAGCCAAACAGACTATGAAACATTTTTCCATTACATGACAGATGGAAGCAAAACGCGGGCTTATTGTGGTGCTGAAAACTGAATGGAAATTTAGTCAGTAATTGCATTTTAATGGAAAGAGATAGAGATCACTGAAGTAGACTACACTATGTGAACAATGCACAAGAAAGGCCTGTCTGGACTGAACTTTGAATTACATAAAAATGGAAACTTAAGAAGAAATAAAATATGTATTAAAGCTCTGCAGAGACTTTCTTTTAAAATGATTTCTGAAATGATTCAATAATTTATCATTAAATTCACAGACATACAAAAATGCAGCACTTTCCTTAACACTTCAGAGTTTCGTCTGACCTTTCTGAAATATTTCAAACTGCGACAGCGCAGCTTTCTACCCTGCTGTTGTGTACTCTGTCAAAATCTTGTCAAGTGGCATTGTGATTTTTAATTAAATGTAATGACATTAAAACATATGTGTAAGTTAATAATGCAGAGCAGTGGGACTGGCACCTACTTATATAATATTAAATTCTTTTAAAATGTTGGTGAACAAAAAAACAACCCTTTTGTAAGCCTTAGTAACGAAGACTCACAATGCCTGAAGCATTACCCAGAGTCCCACTCTGTGTGGGTTTTTTGGTCAAGCTCTGAACGTGAGTAATGCGGCGAACCAATACAGACAAGGGTGCTGACCGTCCATGGTGGCAGGCGAAGGCTGTACTCCTCCATACTGGTTCTGCTGCGGAGGGGGGTGTCCAGGCTGGTGGGCAGCAGAGGAAGAGGAGGCGATGCTGTCCGGAGTCCCCGATCGCTCCTCCACTGGCGCGCTGGGGGGGCCTGGAGAATGGAGACCACAGGGGTGAGTTACACAGTCCAGACCACCACCACCTGCCAAGCCTCGCCAAGCCCTCGCCGGGCTTCATCATGATGATAACAGCGCTCCTCTAACAGAGAGCTGGCAGAACCTTTTCGCCTCTCTTCTCAGGAAAAAGCTTCAGATCGCTTCTGCACCGAGTCTCGTCCTACAGCATTCAACATTACTAAAAATGGTACTGCTGCCTTTTTCAGATTTGTATATACAATAACTGAACTATGCAATTTATCTATGCCTAAGTTGCAAAGGAACAGTCTCAGTAACACTTCAGTATAGGGACTGCAAAACCATATATAAATACTTTATTGCCCATAACACATGTAGAGATCATGAAGACAGCCAGAAATTAAGTGACCGTTGCTAATGATTAATTGCATGGTTATTATATTATGTCAGACATTTGTCTGTTACTTTAACAACTGTTTGTAATCCACTTTTAAGGTGCAATTTGTACCAACTAATTGTCTTATAAAAATAATTTAAAAAATCAACTTTTTTCTTATTTCTGTGGTACTCCATAAAAAAATAGCAGATCTTAATAGAATACAGTTTTATCAGTCAAGCAGGTTTTTAACAAGCAAACGTGTGAGTGGAACTGGCAAAATGTTTACAAATTCCGAAAGAAGAGTACTGCTGGCAACTGCAACGTTGTCAAGTGTATGCTTTCTTTCTATAAAAAAGATGTCATGGCAATTTCCAACTGGAGAGACAAGAGAGAGAAGAAAAGTGAATCCATGTGGGTAATGAAAGGAAACTAGCATGCAAGAGCTCAGTACCAAAGGTTTATAAATATACTTGAGATCTAACATCCCCAGATACTGGGTTATTTCAAGGCAAACGTCTGACTTGAACCAGTTTCCCAATTTGCAGAAGACGTCATGTGAAGTCCTTTACAGTTTCAAACAGATAAAAACCCATACCTGTAAGTTTGTTTGCCCAAAATCGCTTTTCTGGTAACATGCTCCAAGAGTCTTTTCAGACATTTATAGAACCTTTTCATGATACCCAGCCATGTTTCTTGAATCTGATACCCTGGCTCCTTTCAAGAACTGGCTGGAGGGGATCCACAGAGCACCGAGCTACCAGCAAGCTAGACGGTCCCAATTGCCTCATTTTGTTTGCAGCTCCATTGTGTCATTTTGAAATCCAGAATAAAAATATATTTTTAGTGTTAAAACAAGAACTCTCCCGTCCCTCTTACTTGTTACCAGCTTTTTTTCCTCTTCACTGAGCTGTGAAAATGAAATCCAACAAAATGGGGGAAACAACTCTCAACAACGCACACATAAACAATCCTTGTGAAATGGGTCCATTTTATTACACAACTGTTTTGGATCTTTTGTTTAATGTCAAGATTGGACTGTATTCAAACATCCTTATGCTTAAAAACGAATCACCATTCAACCAAATTATAGGAGGGTTTTAGGCTACTCTCATCAAATTAAAAAGACACATTAAATAGTTTTCATAAATATACGAATTAAGTTGTGTTGTGGATGTTAGTTGGTAAAGCTCTTTCAAAAAGAGACCATTTGAACCAACAAAATGGGTGAATACGAAGTCACTGCTCCAAGCTTGTAAGTTCTTTTCTGAACCCGTTCTCAACAGTATTTTACTCAAACAACTCTGCATAAAATAAAGTTTGCATGATTCGTCTGAAGATGCGTAAAAAAGGTCAAGCAGCGGCTTCTACCTGAGGCCTGGTCCTCTGACAGTCCGAAGGAGGACATGACGTTCTTGCTCATTTCATCCTGGTTCTTCAGGGGGTCAAAGGCCGACATGCTGGCAGCACTGACGGGGATGGGCTGCTTGCCTGTGGAGTCAGGAGCCACCTGCTTCCCCTCTCTGCCATCTACCGCCTCTGAAATTAGCATGAAGGACACAGGGACATCAAGATCGGTCAACCGCAAACAGCTAAGCCCACCGGTGTCCGTGAGGGAGGTTGTGGGCTCACTCACCTCATGATAAGAGGCTGACCCCCAAACTTCCCACGGTACTGTCTACTCGAACAGTTAACAAGAGTCTCGACAGATCTGCTAACGTCTCCCTAAGTGCAAGTCACTTCAATGCAGCATCTCGCAAAACGACCTCTTTTCCAGAATGGAAGACTACCGAAAGTGTATTTTACAGATGCACAAGCGTATCCAGGTAAATACTGTGGACCTATAAAACTAAAAACTATACAAGAATATGTATGACCCTTCTTGGATATTTCTTCATTTCCGTTGCATCAACATTAGGGAATTAATTACACACAATTTCACTTATTCCAAACAGATTGCCACATGTGAATAAAAGGTTTAGTGGCAACAGCCTAGAGCAAGGCGGCTGGTAAGGACTGTATCCATGTTTGGGACAACAGACGCACAACATGGTACTAAAAGGTAAAACAGTTGAGACAGGCATTTAAATTCATTTCCTGATATAACAATGCGATTGGCAAAACAAGAAATACCAGGCTTACTGAAATGAAGTTATGCCATCTGCACAGCTCATTTACAGCCTACACTGACTGACTGCTGTGCATTATTTCTAAATGATTGAAATAATGCAGTGGAATAGCCTTACAGAGGAATTTTGCCCATGCAACGTACTGTAGCAAGTTTAAACTAATTTCCACTTAAAATGTTTTATAAAATAAGCAAAAGGAGCTAAAACTTGACATGTCATTATGTGGGGTTTTACTGTAGCCAGGCATTTTAAACATGTTTTTTTTTCTTGCAAAGGACTTTTATTGGTTTGAAACCTGTTTCTCATTATTCTCAGAGCTGCTTTGGGTAAAGCCTTTTACAAAGGCAGGACTCAGTAGGGTAATACTGGGGTACTGGGCACAATAACGGGTCCATGTGAAGCAGCCTCCAGGCGGGTGCTTGAGCAACAGCTGGTGGAGAGGAAACGAAGACCAAGTAAGAAAACAGCCTGCAAATTAGGGGAGACCACTGGGTCAGTCTCTAATTTGGTTTTTAGAAGCTAAATGATCTGGGAATCTCATCCAGTTATTTCTGGATAGAAATGATTATTAGTATCTGAATCAGGTACCCTAGTAGTCTTGCAGTACCTAGTATCTAAGATTTATTTCCTGTCTGTCAATGGAGTACATTTCCTTGGGAAGGAGGAATGAGAAATGTACCTGGTTGCCTTTCTATGGATGAACTCCAGGGCAGCAATTTATTGCTTGCATCCAGTTGACCAAAATTACAATTACAATTACAAAATTACAGCGTCTAAGCTCAGTCACGCCCGGGTATTTATACCGAAGAACACCTGAACCATGCGTGGTTGAAAACTAGGTGTTCCTAGTCTGCAGGTGAGAGGCAGGTAGACGACGACGCAAGTGGTTGTTAGGCTGAACACGGCAACATCCCTTGATTTACCTGATTCAAGTGAAGTCAACACTTTTAACTTTATATTCTACAATTCAAAAATGTTCTGTTAAAAGGCATTTCTGGCATTGCATATAAAATACTGGGCTTTATTCTGCAAATACCGTAAACGTTTTCCTCCGCTAGTTAGTATCCCTGTGTGGATACTACTGCTGTTGGTATTGTCTGTTTTTTTCTTTCATCAGGCTGAACTCACTTGAAGTTCTTCCTGTTTATTGTCAAGTCTTAAATTCAAAATACAAAAACGTCCTTGAATTTTCCCTCCAGGGGGGTAATAAACATATTCTACTCCTGGGACAAATGAATGAAACAATAAAATAAGTGCCAACGGACCACCACAGTGCTGCCTGGCCATGCCATTAAATGAGACAGACATTACATGGACCAAGGTAACAAACAATAAGAGTAACCTGAGATCATTCTGGAAATTTTACCGCAGTTTTCAGGGGCATAAAAACCTGCTCCAGCCTTTATAACAAATTAGGCACAGCCATATAAAAAAAAGAAAGAGTCCAGAGTTGCCTGTGAATCTGAAGACCGCCTGGGTATATTCCACATAAACACCATCTGTACATTGACAACATATGTTTTTTGGTCAGTGAAAAACATGATTAAATCACAGCAGTATTTATTCATAACGGACATAACATACACACAGGTACATGTTGTACACATTTATGAACATACTGTAAGTGCATACTTATGTGAAGTGTATTTGCACAATTAAGAACGTATAAATAGGAAAGCAGATATACATGGTCTTCACCAAATTTTTGAAAACCTTAATTTCCATATAAAGGACACTGCATTCTTAAATCTTTCATTTTGAGCTCCTGCATAATGAAATCAGATGATCAGTTATCTCTTCCATTTAAACAACAGAAACACTGCAAAAGGGGTGTTGTGGGGCTATCAGCTTAAAACGTCACTTGGCCTATTTCTTGAATGGCATTAATCACGTACTCCCTAAAAATGTAGAAAAGAACAATAATTCCTTATATTTATGCAGTGCTTTGCATCAAAAAGGGTGCTTTACACCCCTGAAGTGCAGGACCCACATATGGCAGCCATTAATGGGCCAGCAGGCCCACTGCACAGCAGGTCAGGAGAGGAAGCGAAAAATTGCTCCATCAATGGACTCAAGGGGCAACTTTAAGAAGTACGATCCCAGAGCAGGATGTAGCCAGGGTTAACGCCACCCGCCCTTTTGAAATGCACCATGGATTCTTTACTGAGAAAGAAGTCAAGACCACGGCACGTCCTACAGCACGATGTCCCCGCAAGCTCTAATCCAGGGGAAAGAGCGCCACTTACTGGTCCACCAACACCACTTCCAACAGCCAACTTGATTTCCATGCAAAATCTCCCACTGCAAAACTGACCAGGTTCAGCCTCGTCACCCAGCGAAATAGTTACCTTGTTGCAACTGTGCAAGAAAACTATGCTCAGTAGCTCAGTCGTTTTCAGGCTTTTCCACACTGTTGTGAGTAGATTGCTTCTTTATCCGTTCCAGAATGAAAAGTGTTAAAAAGCACTTGGATAGAAAAATGGGGGGAGCTGCCTGAGTAACAGACTGTGCTCAGACATCCTTTGTAGCAGAGACTGGTTAAAATATCTGCTCGTTCTGCCCTGCAAATGCATTCCCTCCTGTGCTGTTAAACTGCTCATTTTGGGCTGCTAAAACACACAGCTGCGAAAATGTTCCATTGCTGCTGCTCACAAAGAAAGCTCTCAAGTTGAAAAAAATCTTGTGTCTTTTTAGTTCAACCTGGAAAAATCCTGTGAGCACATTATGGTTACGGAATCATGTGTTTCTGCATACTTCATTAAAAGCTCATCTTTCACCAATGTGAAATTAAAGTCGAATGTATGGTTTTGTTTTCAATTAATCTACACTTCATACCTGGCACATTGTCATGTATCTCCAGTCACCTGTTTGGGTGTGCCAACTTAAACCTCTGGATTTTAAGTAAAATTAATATGCAGGATTACAATATGCATCAATCTATAGCACTTCATCATGTAATAAATGCATTTATCTAATTGAAGGACTATGCTGCTGTTATGGAATCCTAATGTAAACCACTAAATTCAGAAAACTTTAATTTTAAAGACGTTCCACTGACAATAAGCTGTAGCCCAGATGTGGAACTTTTTACTTATCTTCATACAGCTCAATAATTGCACTGCGATTTGGGAATTCACATGCCCAAAAAAACCTTCAGCAGAGTCTCTCTTAATATATGGCATATGTACAGTACATGTAATCACTGGGAATAGAAAACCCTTTTGATCTGCAAACAATGAAAAACAAAGCAACATCTATGTAATTTTGACTTGAGCAGTGAAGACCTCGCAGCTACGAAAGATCTTTAAACCAACCAAATTTAACAATGTTCCCTAGTGCTGAAGGGCGTCAACGCTACAATAATTGTGAATGTTGATTAAGCCATTTAAGAAAACCAACAACGAGTGATGACAAACAGTAACTCAAACTAAATGAGGCATGATTTTGCAGAGTAGCTCAACCAGAAAAATGCACTCATCTGGTACACAGACTGACCCCCGTGTACTGATCCCAGTATCCCTTCATTATTACTGCAGAAAGCTGCTTATTCCTGGTCAGCCTATCTGAGGAGCACAGGGCTGAAGGCAGGACTGCATCCTGGATGGGACACTAGTCCTTTAGGAGGTGCGCCCACACACACACAGTTTGATGCACATCTCAAGCAGGTCACACAGGACTCAGATGAATAATGCATTCAAGATCCAGGACCAAGATCTATACTATAAATATCAACTGTGGTTGGAACTGAAAAGCCTGGCTTTGCAGACATGTGCCTTTATCTTGCAAAAAAACGGTGGAGGCTTTCCAACAGCATGCATCAAGCTTCTTCTCAAGGTTCACAGTGCAGCCAAGACAGTGGAAATGAAACACATTTTGTAACTCTTGGTTGCTGGCATGAATAGAACTGTCTTGTGATAAGACCACATTTTTCTTGATGCTGATGACCATTCTAGATCCACTCTAGATTTCAGGCAGGCACTGGTGCACTTAACCATCCGTGTTTGCAGGTCTTCGGACTCTTTGAAAGTAACATTTCTCAAAACAGTCTTGAATTCTTCAGCATTGCTCAACTTCTGAGTACACGTCCTCTTCCCTTGGTGAACTAGTCTTGCCCAATTTGTATTTATCGCTTTTCAATAGTGTTAAGTTATTCAGAAGAGCAAGGTTATCGTTCTCTTTCAGATATATCGTGCTAGGATGTGATCTGATGTAGAAAACCAGCTGTTTCTTTTTTCTTAGTTCATCCTCAGTCACAGAACATATTCTTGAGATTCTTTCATATTGTATGACTCATGACATTCATATGTTTCCTTAAACTCAAAGCTCCTCACAGAAAGATTCCAAGAAAATTCCATGATTCACAATTAGCTTCTGTTTTTCTTGTGTTTTTTTAATAAAAACAATCTTTGCATGAATGAGTGCATGGTGGTTACTGCAGTCCCCCACTATGTATGAATGGATAATCTCTTCTGGAGACTATATGGAGAATCTCTTTCTCGTGAACTTGCACAGAACCAGGACCAGATTAAGCCGGTGTTGTTGCCCAGACTTAGGACACCCCTGAGCAGGAGATGGCTGCAAAGTATGTGCAAAAGCACACAGGTGTCACAGGTTTTGTAGCACCTAACGAGAACACTCACTCACCTACAAGAGAAATGAAGTCACCAAGCACAGCTAGCCTGTTTCATGGCAGGACATTTATGATTTCTAGCAAGTTGTGAGTAAAAAATAATCCTCTTCTTGCAGAGGCTAACAAGAGTCAGTCCATGTCACAGAGCCATCCTGGGTGTTGAGTGAGCTGCGTACTTTTGTACAAACTTGAACTGTTTCACCTTGTGAGCTTCATTGACCAATATATTTGTGATACATTTCTTAACATGCTTGTTTAATATTCTGTATATGTACGATTATGTGACTTAAGGATAAAGACATCTCATTCAGAGAAAAACACAGCATAAACAAGGAAATATACGGAACACTTTCAGCTTTGCATATTTCCACATTAATTGTGCTGTGAATAAATCTTTTAACCTATGTAAACTGTTATATTAACCAAAATTTTTCCTATAGTGCATCACCTTTGAATTTGAATTTCTGAACATAAAATTGCCAATTAACCCCATAACTAGAGAGCTTTCAGAAAATCCTAAAACAGAATTTCCAACCTTTCTATTCCCTACCCACCTGGTAAAACGTGTTCAGAATAAGGACAGAAAACTAAGCTTTTTATCCCAATTTCCTTTATGTCAGCCAGCGCCAGACACTTGCTCTAACCTAACCATGGAATCTTACACAAACCCCATGTTAAGAGTTGTAGTCATCCTTTGTCTCACAGCTGGATAAGCTATTTCATGACCCCACCTGAAAATGATGTCATTTCCCAGCAATGTGGATTTTTACTGCAATGTTGTTTACTGCAACACTTAGGTGACCACAAAGAAGAGGCAGAAAACCACACCCGTGTAAATTCTCAGTACTGGGTGAACAGCTTACAGCTCTTTACTATGGTCTATGATTTCAACTGACCTTTGCATTTTCGACGTTGACATCTGCACATATCAAGCCCAATAGGAAAACACACCTGTTCCACTAAACCCATTTATATGCACTTAGGAATTGTTAGCAGGAGTGAGATGTACTGTGTGCTTTAACTGTGAAGTGGGAATCTTTGACAAGACTCTACGAGACTCAAATATATGGAGTTTAATACAGATGACGGCCGGTGCACAGGTGCTGCTGTACCATTCTCTGGCAGGCTGGAGGTGTGGCCGGGCTCAACAGGGGGCTCCAGGCTGTCCAGCAGACGATTTACTTTGTTCCTCAGCTCTATCAGCTCCCGCCGAAGGTACTTCACCTGACTTGACTCCAAGGGCCGAGGCTGTCCATTCACTGCCAACACAAAGCACAAGGAAAACCTCAAACGAACAGCTTGTAAAAAAACAATCGGGAAGAGCAGGAAAATAAATTGGTTGGGATCACATGAAAGGCCTTATCAAAGGGTTCTGCACATTATCACTATATTCTCCTGATACTAGTAATTCACTGTGCGATACCTGATTCATGAGGTTAAGATTACGTCTACTCAGACACACTTTCCAAGCTAAATTGATTCTGAGAACTTCTCAGGGCCCTTTGTCTCAATGTGTTGTCCACTGATGCTACATTATGGTCTCATTTACTATGGAAAGCATCTACACTTCATTGCCATGGTGTGAGCTTGAGAAACACAAATCTCCACATTGATTTAGAAAAAGCAGATCTTGCCTACTTAACTTGTCAGACATGTTTTGAACAAACAGCAACAGTAAGGGATGCACACAAAATATATGATGATGTTTTGTTGATTTTCAGAAGACTTTTGACGAAGTTTCTCATAAAATATTCCTTCTCAAATTGCAGGCAGTAGGAATTCAGAGAAACAAGGGTTTTGGATTGAGAATTGGTTGGCTGAGAATTGAGAAAAAGAAACCAGAGTACAGATAGGGTGTAAATGCAATTAATAGGATGTTCTAATAAGCGGTGTACCACAAGGACCTGTATTAGGACCACGCTCATTCTAATTTATATCAATGATTTAGATTCTGGGATGGTTAGTGAACTAGTCAAGTAAACAGATGATACCCAATCAAGAGGATTAGAAAATTCAACAATTTAGATAAAGATTTAGATAAAGTCTGGACAAACACATACCTGGCAGATGACTTTTGGTAATACAGAAAAGTGCAGGGTTCCAAATGGCTCCCTGTCCGTTGTAATCTCTCATGTTTTTTATTTACTTGTATGCTGACTACGTAAAACTACAGTGCTGTAGCTTTTCTATGCTTAATACAATTACAAACAATACAGACTCAATTCACAGGCTAATTATTCAAGCAAATTTAGCCCAATCATTTAAAGTAAAACCATAAAATTAAGGCAAATGGCAAATGTTGAGATAATGCCAATAGACACTTCTGAATGCATTTGAATTTTCTATTATATGGCATGAGCAAAACTGACTTTTTAAATGGTCAGATATCCTTCTTACCTCAAAAGAGCCAGGAATGTGAAACTTTGGCTTGTTCTTTAAATAACCGATTCCATTGTCATTTTTGGAGATCCAAAATGACAGAATGCTGCATTTCATTGCATATCAAGCAAACTACCGCAGGGTTTCAATCCCTGGATCCTCGTCTGCTGAGCTACCAATTTGAAAGCTGCAGTTAACCTTCAGCTCATTTTCCTCCCGTTCTGCTTTTCTTCCATCCCAGTTTCCATCAGCCAGACAAAACCAAGAAAAAGCGAATTCCTGAATGTTAAATTTTCAGAAGCCGAGACCCTACTGTAATGCTTCCAACCAAATCACTTATTTTTCACCAATAAACATCAATTGCCTAACTCAATATCAGTACTGAACTCAGAACATTTTGCATATAGTCTAAAAAAACACTACATTTGAAAGGAGTGCAAAACAGAGTCCTGAGGTGGGCATTCTGGGAAGACTTTTGGAATCATAATGATGCATGTGTATCTGAAGAAATAAAAGATCTGAAAGAAAGACCTGCCAAATCTGTGCATATTTGTAAAGACCCTTAAATAATCCTGAAATTCTGTTTTTGTTTTAGATTTTTCTCATGGCATTTCTTCCTCCAACTGTTCGTGGCCATGTCAGTTACTCACGAAGAAAACAATTGTCTTTAGGCTTTACTGAAGGGATGTACACAGGAAAGGGTAGGAATTTTGTACCATAGCCACTTATAAATATAGCCCGTCACACCATTTCCAGTCAACCTACACTGGGACTTCTTTTCAGAAGCTGGGGTAGTTAAATGAGAACTTAAGATCATTACACAGAACAGCATATGGAATTCAAAAACTACACCTCAGTTCCCGCAGACATGGCCTTAATCACAAATGGCTGATGAAGCCAATGCTTCCATAGTATTAAATACTTTATAATTTCCTGCACACTGTACCTGAGTTCAGAGTAAAGTCATAATCACATGAAATAGCTTCTCTCTTTTCTGCACTGATGACAAAAACACTGTAGTGTAAATTACTCATTATCTATCAGATCATTCTCTGATTACTAGATGTGAGTGTAATATCCTTTTCCAATGTTACACCCTTATTTTTTCAAGAACACAGGCAATGATCATTTTTAAGCTTTCTGTATTCTATTCAGAATAATTACAGAGCCAATAATGGATTTATATGATCATTTCCAGTAATTTGACAAAATATCTAAAATCAAATCTTTCTTATACTAATAGGTTTAGGACATGTTTGACACTTCATTTCAACACCAATTCCAAGTTTAAAACCAGTCATTATTACTTGCTTTTAGCTACAAGAAACTAATTCTAGCAATCCACTGAATAGTACAGAGCTAATAACCGGCATCTGGCAGATGGGTGTAAGTTTCAATTAAATCAGAGCAGAAGACGTTTTTACTGTTCCGCTCCACCACTGGTTCAGTCACAATATGACTGCATTTTCCAAAGAGGAAGACAAAACAGAGACAACTCTGGGGACGTGATAAACGATCAACTTTGTGTTTTTTATCAGAATACAAATGCTGCTGTGATGTACAACTGAAATATCATTAATAAAAATTACTGTAGCGATTTAAAATTACACGTTGCAGAGCCAGATGAATATGTAGGTTAAGAAGCTTGTGCATAAATCAATGCTGAAATGTCTTGCGTTTTCCAGTCCTCAAAATAAAAGGAAATCAAGTTTTAGATCAACAGTGCTTGATCTCAAAGGCAAAGAAACTCGCCAAATAAGCCATTAATCTTTCTGATTTACTGCCATGATCTTACTTGCCAGGCAACTGAAATTTCGAGCCTTTCAAAAAAGGCAAAAAATATTCTACAAGCCAAGATTATACCTAAATACTCAGGAATTCTGTACTGTAATAACAAAAAGGCAAGATACACAGATGTGCAAGCGAATGAGGTGAAACTGCACCTCATTTCTTTGCTTGCACTACAGTCCTTAACTTTTAAATTCTGCAACTCCTGAGCTGTAATTTAAAATGAATCATCAAAGGTTTCCTAAGATTCTAAAAATACTGTAATCAAAAAGGTGTCTATTTGGGGCATTCCAGAACTAAAACAGCCAAGTCTGTTTATTTTACATCTGTTGACTTTCTTTACCCGTTTTGGTTTAAGGTTTTTCCAGATTCACTACTGTATGTTTCATATTCACTCCTTTAAGCAGATGTATTGGTTATAGTGGAGAGTCCAGCTACATACCAAGTGTTTTACTGGAAAGCATAGCTGCAGAAGGCAAATAAATTGTCTTGAATTGTCTGATTTTGAGATGCTACCAGAGAGCAAAGCACAGAGAGCATTGCTTCAGGTTTCAAAGTTTTTACTTTGACAATTAATTTTCCATGTAACGTATACAGTACTGTAAGCTAGTGTTCTCTTTCCTTCCAGTTTCTGACTCTTTAGCTAATGCTTTTTTATCTTCTACATCAGTGTGCACATCTCTTGAATCACACTGCTATATTTATTGTTTTTTTTCTTAATTAGTACAAATGCTGATAGCAGTTCACTGATATAGCTCTGCCAACAGCACTAGAAAGTAAGGAGTGGGTAATCTTTCCTAAAGGAGCATTTACTAAAGCCATTTGCCCACATGCAAGTTAGCCTGGATTGGAAAAGTGGTACAAGAGCAGAGGCACTTGACAAATCACAGCGGACGCACATGACACCCTGGCTAATGAAATATAGCATGTCTGCAATCATTCAGCTCTGGAGAATCCCAGTCAAGTCAGCTAATAACATAGGCCAGGCAAGGGAATGGCAATGCCCTCAGAATGGGTTCCTTTTCTGAATAACCCCGAGATGTTAACAACACCTCAGTGCCCGTCCTCCCCGTGTGAAAGCAGAGCGGCAGAACGAAACTTGGAAAGGAAGGAACGGATGAAACTGAGGTGACAAGTGACTTTCTGAATTACACCATAAATTACAATGTAACCTGAGTTATAGAACTTGTTGGGGGGAAAAAAGATGCCCTGATATTCATCCTATAGTTTGTTATCAATCTTATACTGTATATCCAGGATCCTAATCCATAATCATGTAGCATGGAAAGGGTGTTCAATATGCCTTAACTATGTCAAATTAGCCTTGTGCTGAGCTGTGACTGAAAGAATAAGTGAAAACAATGCAGAACTCATGCATCTTATCTCCAGTTAATACCCAATTCACCCAGCTATCTGTGTGACCTCAAAAATGATTAAACAAATCCACATTTCTGGAAACACAGGTTTGGCCAAATCACTGCAAAAGCATAATATTGAGCATCACGTCTGAATCCCAGTCTCAACCCACTTTACAAGAACAGTAAAGGGAAATCCCAGATCAGCCCAAAGCTGCTTACAAATTATCGCCCTTTTTAACATTTCAGACCAGTTAAATGTGACATCATGGAGCAGGTAAAACTTGCCAAGTACATAATCTCTCACAATAACTCATATGCTGAATAAATAGTCTTGCATTTCAACTCAATGGATCTTTAAAAAAGGGAAGCATAATTATCCCTTGTGAATGCACATGAAAAACAAACAGAAGACCTAAAGATCAAGTGCAAGTATTCTGCTGTGTTCACCTATAGACAAACAAACCACCACTAGACATGCAGAGGAAGGCTTACCAGTCACCACATTCAGTGGTTTGGAACAAGCCAAGCTCTTAAATTCCTTGTTAAGAGTCAGCCAGTCCCCACTTATAACTTTGTTTATGCACAATTTTCATACTAACTTTGACGGATTCAGGTCAAACTACGAGTTAAAAACAATCTGTCTACCATCCAAAGTTCCAAACTTCCATCTAAGCATCACAAGCTGCCACGAGTTTATTAAGCAACAAACCTCTGGGTTTCGGACAGTCGTTCTG